CTCTCCCCCGCGGGGCGTCCCCTGGGCCGGTGGGGACCAGCCCCTCTCCCCCGCGGGGCGTTCCCTGGGCCGGTGGGGACCAGCCTCTCTCCCCCGCAGGGCGTCCCAGCCAGCATCGCGTTCTTCAGCCCCTCTGGCCTCATGCACAGCCTCAAGTACATTCGGGAGCTTTCTGGCGACAGCATCGACCAGATTAAGGTGAGCTGCGCAGCGGCCTGGTCTTTTCCAGAATCTTCTCAGCTTTACCTCTGATCTGATGGTCTCCACTCTCGGACGTCGCCGGGACGTGCCAAGGCAGGCGCCCAGAGCCCAGCCCCGTGCTCCGCGCTGTCTGCCCTGAGAAGCTGCGCGCTGCGGGTCACGCGGGAGGGAGCGAGCGAGCGGTGTGAGCGGTGTGAGCTCAGGGTGGCCCCTGGGCCGGCCCGCTGCTGTGCTGACTCCTCTCCTCTTGCAGTTTGCCGCCATCGGCCCCACCACCGCCCAGGCCCTGGCCGCCCAGGGCCTGCCCGTGAGCTGCACCGCAGAGAGCCCCACGCCAGGCGCCCTGGCCGCCTGCATCCGGAGGGTGCTTCAGCCCCCCGGCCACCGCTGAGTCCACCCCCAGCGCCTCCCTGGGGCTGCCCCGTGGCCGGCCTACACCTGGGCGAGGGGCCCGCGCCGCTTCGGGGAGCCGGACCCTGGGTGCGGCGCGAATCCAGCGGCCCAGACTCCGCCTCTGCCGCCTGGAGCCGTCCCGACGCTGGTCCTCGGACCCGAGGCCGCAGCCGCCCTCCCTGGAGACCCCCGGCGCCTTGCGTGGGGGCGCCCCAGGTCTGAGGCCTCGGCGTGGAGGAAGCTAAATACACCACCCGGGAAGTGGGCGTGCTGCGTGTGCGGAGTGTGTTTGTGGGGCGCGTGGGCCCCCCGCTGCGGAGGCCCCGGCAGGGACACTGGCCCCGGGCCCTCTCCCGGCCGCCCGGCGCCTCTGCGCGCTCTCCTGGCCGCTGCTGTGAGCGGTGCAGGCCGGGAGGGCATCTGGCTGGGGCTTCACAGCCCAGCGTGCGCGGGGCTGCCGGCCAGGGCGGCCCACAGACCCCACAGCAGCCGGGAGGACGGGGCGAAGCCGCTGACCAGCCTCAGGCGCCAGAGACTGACCCGCCAGGCGGCCAGCCGAGACCCTGTCCCGGCCAGAGGAAGCTGTGGCCTCGGGGCTCCGGCTGCAGCCCTTACCCTGGGGCCCCCGGGACCTCCGGCTTTGCCTCTGGGGTGCTGACTGGGGCAGGCGGGAGGCGAAACTCCGGGGCCAGTTCAGGGCGGACGCAAAGGGGCTGCGGGTCTGGGGTGGCCCCGGCTGGGGCGGGCGAAGAAGCGTGACAGGGATGGCGGGCCGGTGCCGGGTGACGGGTGGCCAGGCCAGCAGTGGCCCCTCAGCCGCTTCCTTCCTGCCGCGCTGCCTGGGGGGGACCCGCACCGTCTGCAAGGACGGCACAGAGCGGAGGAGTGAGGCCACGGAGGGGTCCGGGGCAGAGCGCGCCCCGATGCGCCAGCGGCAGGCGGTGCAGACACACCCGCCCTCAGCGGCTCCCAGCCCCGCGCAGCTGCCCCCCACCCCCCACCCCCATCTCAGGACTCGCAGCTGAGCCTGCAGCCCTGCGCTGTGCGAGTCAGGGCCGGCCCCGGCCTGCCCGCTCCACCACCCGGCCTCCTGCCAAGCCTGGGCCAGCCCCCGCCCCCCGCGGGTGAGGACAAGCACCAGCTCCCCAGGGGACGGCCTGGACCTCTTGGCAGGCCGCGCTAGCCACAAGCAGTCAGCTGTCGGGGAGGGTCGCAAAGCTGGGGGCCGGACTCCCCGACACCCTTGCAGGCCGACACTGAGCAGGCGGCTCTGCCCCCCAGCAGCCGCGGCCCAGCCGTCAGGGGGGGCTTGGGCTGTCGCCTTCTGGAGACTTCCGTTGCGCCTCCGCCACACTCAGGTGGGCTCTCAGCCAGAGCCGCGCGCCCCGGTTCAGCGCGCCACAGGACGCGCGCAGGCGAACCCCGTGTCTGGGTTCCAGGCCGGGGCCGGCCGAGCTCTGGCAGAGGTGGCTCCGCGGGCGCCCGACTCCCCACTGCCGGCCTCCGCAGGCTCCCGGGGCGACGGGAGCCCAGCTCCTGCCGACACCCCGAAGAATGCAGTCGGAGGCCGCGCTCAACATAGCCAGTGTATATTTCACACAACAACCGTGGCCGGGAGACAGGGGCGCCCCCCTCTCTGGGGGGACAGGCCCCGCGGGGTCGCTGCCGGAGGCCTGGTGCTCGGGCACCTGGCGCCGGAGCGGGGGGCGCAGCTCCGCGGGGGGGCGGCCTTCCGGGCCGCGCTGCCCGCCCTGTGTGCCGACGCCGTGGGCAGTCATAGGTTCCTGCGGGACCAGAGAAGCGCGAGGTTCTTGCTCTGAAGCCACTCGCGGGCCAGAGGTGCGGCGGCAGCTCACGCCCAGCAGCCGCCACGGAGCCCGGAGAGCCCGCCCCGGCGCCAGGCCGCCCAAGCTGCCACGCAGAAGTCAGCAAGGGCACGCTGGGCCGAGCACGCCAGTCCAGGGGCACAGGCGGGGCCCCGCCACCGGGGCTCCCCAGGCCCCGGCCGCTCACACTTCCCCAGACCTACAACATTCATCTCGCCTCAAGGAAACGCCCCGCAGCTCCGGATAAAGTGCGGAGCATTTCGAAAAGAGCTTCCTGCCAGAGATCCGACCCACCCCAGTCAGGTGTCCAGGGCCCTTCGCTCCGCTCGGCCTCCCCGGAGCCCTCAGGGCCACCTCGCTGTCCCCGAGGCCGTGGGCCTGGAGGTAACACCCCGGGGCTCCCCGCCAGGCAGGAGGGCGCAGACTCAGCCGTCCTCGGGTGAATGTGAGGCAGGGGCCCGGTCAGGGAGCCCCTAGCGTCCAGCCTGCAGGGGCCGGCGCGGGCCCTGGGTGAGGTCGAGTGACCGCAGGGCCGCCCGCTGACAACAGGGCGCCCGGGGCCCGTCCGCGGGGGCTCAGCCCGCTGACCCACGCTACTCACTTCAGCGCGTTGCTCACTCTGCAGTAGAGACAGATGACCGCACACAGCAGCAGGAAGGCGGCCACCAGCAGGCCGCCCCCGATGGCGACCATGATCTCGAAGTCCAGCATCTTAAGCATCCTGACGCACCTGGGCTGAGAGGGGCTGCTGGTGTGAGCCCCAAGCCCCGGCCCCCCACACGTGTGCTGCCCTGCCCGGGGCCTCCTGAGCCACGACCGGGCCTTCTCGGGACTGGCCCTCCCGAGGCCCAGGCGGTGAAGGGTTTGCTTGTGGGGGAGACGGGCCGAAAGGCAGGGTCCGGGGGGTCAGTCCAGGTGGCAGGGGGGCGGGTCCCACTCGGAGTGTGCTCGTGAGCACACAGCTCTCACCCCAGCACCGGCCCCCCAAAGGTGCTCGCTTCTGGGTCAGCAGTGACCCCTCCTGGACATCACCTAGAAGCTGCCCGTGGCGGGTAACCAAGGGGACGCCCCGTGCAAGGCCGCGGAGGTGGACACCCACTTTGTACGTGTGTTTTAGGAAAAAGCGCTTCAGTTGTGTGGACAGCTGGCCCGTGGCCCCTCGGCGCCGAGAAGCTTCTGGCCAGCCGCTCGGGCTGGGAGACCGGGGTGCCCTGACAGACCGGCCCCCACGTTCTCACTTTGGGCCGCACCCTCCCCCTGCGGGGCGTCCATTTCCTCCAAGTCCAGTTTACCTGGAAGAAACGATGCGGCTGACCTCAGGCCCGGGGAAGCCAACGGCCCGGGCACGGCCCGGCCGCGCGGACAGAAAGTGGTGAGGCAGAAACCGGGGGTGCGCGCCCCTTCGCAGCCGCCACGCCCAGCGCCCTCGAGGCCCGCAGGGTGCGGACCTGACCACGGTAGCGGGAGGCAGCGGGAGCGGCTGTGTGACATCAGCCCGACGCGCCCCGGAGTTCTCAATTCTGTTCCGTGCAGCCTGTCTGGGCCTCCGGGAAAAGCGGAACGTCGGGGAGCCCCGAGCACCCCGGTCCCCGGCCGCCCTCCGCAGCCTCTTGCTTCCCCCAGGAGCAAGCGTTTGGGGAGACACTTCGGGGCGTCTCCCAATAAAAGGCCCCTGGATGTCACCCTAAAAGGTGACGCGAAGCCCCGTGGGCGCAGGCCGCACGGCCTCTGCCCGGCCTGACCCCAGTGGCGCGCAGGCCGCGGCGCGTGGCCCGGCCATCCACGGAGGCCGGACGCTGCAGGGCGAGGGGATGGGCGTCCCCGGCAGCCGCTGGCCCACGCCCTGTTTCCGTGGAGATGGCGCCAGCTGCTGGGGAAGGAATTCCCTGTGGGGTGGCAAACCCACCCACCAGCCCGGCTCCCCGACTTCAAAGCGGAGGCCTGCGGCGGCACACTTCGGGCCCGGGTGAGAGGGGCCGGCCGCCCGCCCGGCTGCTGATAAAAGCGGGGCAGCCGCT